AAAACATTTTTTTTTTTTGCTTTTTTCCAGACAGGGTTTCTCTGTGTAGCTTTGGAGCCTATCCTGGCTCTTGCTCTGGAGACCAGGCTGGCCTCGAACTCACAGAGATCTGCCCACCTCATAAAAAGGTCCCCGTGTACCCTGGCCCACGCACATGTTGACCAGAGAACAAAGGGTCTACTTTCTCCTTCCCTGTGCTGGTTCCGGGAGGTCGAACTCGGACCCTCGGCCTGCACGGAAAAGCCTGTTTACCAGCTGAACTACTCTGCCCTTCCCCATGTTTCTTTTTCTAGTGAAAAAACAAAAACAAAAACAAAAAACAACAACAAAAAAACAAAAAGCTCCCTGTCGGCGAACCTCTGAGTGGAAATATGGCTCCAGTTCAGTCAAAAATGCCCGCCCAGGGCCTCCCCAGGGCGACTGCAGAGAGGATGGCTACAGGGTAGGAGCCACCGACGACTCGAGGGTCCAGCAAGGGATAAAGGAGGACAGACAAAGCTCCAGGAGGAAAAAACAACATTTGTGGGTTCTACTCTATCACGGGTGAGGCCTTTGTCCTCTCAGAACATTTTCGGGGCCCTTACCTTGATTCCAGAGGACTCAGACACGTTCAACCTCAGCACACCGGCAGCGGACTGCAGCAGCAGCGACAGCAACCTCTCAGTGTGGAAGCCGCCGAGATTCTCGCCTTCTCAGCGGAAGCGAGAAAGAACTATATCCGGTTATGTTTGCGTGGGGTCTTCTAGAGTTAACGGCAGGGGTACGTTACTAAGGGGCGTTGCTATTTCAGAATCCATGTTCGAGACTGTTAAACATGATAGGTAGAAGAACTTGAAATGCCTCATAGTGCTGAGTAAAGTCTCTCAACCTCCAAATAAAGCCCCACAAAGGTCCCCACAAAGGCAATGCAGCTGAACCTCAAACCGTGTCCCCACGGAGCCAAACCTCAAATAGTGTCCTGTGTGGGAAACCCTAGGAATAGCAGCAGCGAAAGACTCCGAACTCCTTTGTTCTGGGGACAGACACTGGGAATGGCCTACACACATCCTCTCCCGTAGTCAGATCTTCTCCAAATTTCTTCTTTTGTTGATCTGGGGCCCCACCTACTAGAAATGACTACTTTCTTTCTGGAGACATTCCAGACAGACAGGATTGTTTCGGTATGGAAACTCAGATTTGGATTTGTTAAGTGACCACCGACCCCCGCCCGCACACGCACATGCGCGCGCATACACAGACACAGACACAGACACACACGCACACACGCACACACGCACACACGCACACACGCACACCTTGTTTTTCAGCATAATCTCTGAACACACATAATATCATAACACACTCTTGGAAGGTCCTAGGATTTTCCTTCTAGCAAAAATTGAGGCTGTCAAACTAAAACCCTCCCTTCCCTGAAATTTTCTAAGAAGAAATCTGCTTGTTATATCATGCTACCTGGAACTTCCTAGGGAATAGAGAACTGAGCATTTTGTGGTATCTATCTGTGGGAGCCATCCTGGAGTACACACTACATGTAATTCATAGTCAGATGCTGACCTGGACAGATGGCCTGTTTGGAGACTTCTCTGACTTTCACGCAGACATCTTTTCTCCACAAGAGTTCAAATTTGCAAGTGAGGGTGATTCACAGTTCTTTTGGTCACTGGAAGAATGTATAGCAAGAATACAGCACTGTAAGATTCCATAGTTCTGCATGGGTATTTCTGTTTTTGCTCATTTATGTTCATCACATTTATATCCACCCTAGCCTAGTACTGATTACCTTCATTAAGGTTCTAAACGATCCCTACATTGTGGAGTGACTGTTTCCCCCATACTCATTCATCTTGACTGCCACGTATTGTTTAAAACCTTTAAGGGAATTGAGATATCCCTGAAAACAAAACAAAACAAAACAAAACTTGACCATTTTACTGATTGCAGACCATGAAAAGAAATCCTTTTCCTAGGACTGTGATGTTGAGAAATTTCAACATGAGGCAGGACATACAGTGCCTTAATTGTTCCCAATTGACTTCTTGTTTGTAAGGGATAGCACCAAATGAATTAAAAAACACTTTGGGGGGCTAGAGAGATGGCTCGGTGGTTCTTCTAGAGGATCTGAGTTTGATTCCCAGCACCTACACTGTGGCTCAGGACAACCTGAAACTCCAGTTCCAAGGAATCTGATGCCCTCTTCTGTCCTTCAGAGTCACCAGGAATGCACATAAAGTAAAAATCTTTAAGAAAAAAAAACAAATTAAGAAACACCTTTTAAAGCTGATATGATAATCTTAACTAAGACAAAGGTGAATTGAAATGGAAGGAAACTAATGTTAAAATGTATTAATGTTATGCTCTTGGCCAAATACCAATTAATCTTTGTAATAATATGATAAAAATCTTTTAAGAGTATATTCTATTGGTTTTATATTTATTTTTATATCCACTGCTCAGTTTTGCTTCATGTTTTTTGTGTGTACTTGTGCTCTAAATGAAACTTAAAATTTATGTTCTAGTTAAAAAATAACAGGGATCTCAAGATAAATCTTGTCTTATGGAAGAACACACTGATCTGTTAGTTTTCTTTGCCAACTATAAAGGCTCTTCTAAAATACTTGCTTTCTCCTCAGAAGGATAGAGCCAGATGATTTTCTGAGCCTTGGATCTTTTGAGTCTATCCAATTTTGTATATGTCACTGATCATATTGCATTATCTCTTTCTTTTATCCAACCTTCTCAGTTCTTTTTATATTTTTATTGATTTTTCTATTCCAATTAAGCAGTTTGGATAGAGTTCATCTTTTTAATCATCTGAGGTATATTTAGAAATAGTAAAAGAAAGCAAATGAAGCAGCTCGTGGTCAGCTCAATCTTGAATAAGTCGAATAAAGTGGGCTCTTGAGACCAAGAATTTAGGCCCAGCTTAGTCATTTACCAGCTGGATGAGCTTGGGTACATTACCAAACTCTATGACCCTCAGGCAGTGCGTCTGTGAAATTAATTCTTATGATCTGTCTTATAAGATTGCTGGTGTGTGGTTAGTGTATGCAAAGCACCTGGCACCATACCTGGAGTGCACTAAGACTTTGAGAGATGTCTGCCATTACTACCATTGCTACAGTAGTTGCTTTGATTACAGAGGATAGCATTCCACCCTGAAGAATTTTTTCAACATAATATTTTTTGATTCATTGGGAATTTCACATCATGTACTCTGATCACACTCCCTTCCCAATCTTTCCATATCTGACCCCCGCCCTTGTGACCTCTCCCCCTGAAAAACATAAACATAAAAATAAATAGAAAAATATAAAATAAGTCAATTTTGTGTTATCTATATACTCATTGGAGCATGGTCAAACTCTCAATGGCTTACCCCTTAAATAGAACCGAATCTTTCCCCTCCCACTTCAGAAGCCATCAAGTGTGGAGAGCTACACTTAATCATCTTAATCACACTTTTTAAGAGCTCTCTTAGATGGCTTCCTGTTCTAGGTTGCTACTTTGGGGGAAGTAGAGGGTAGGGATTGTCACAGAAGCCTTCATGTTCCTCTTTCTCAAATGTTCATCTGAAAGTCATCAATATCATTGCAAAGGTACCTTTCTTGCTTTTTTTCTGTGGTAACATGGGATACTGACATCCCAGATGCAGTAGGACCACAGGCCGGGTCAGGCCCTCTGAGGCAGCACAGGCCCAGATATTACCATGGCCTC